AATTGTTTCTCTGGCATTGTATTTTCACTTCAGCATTTGCTTATCTTGATCCTTTTAGCTTACTTTTTAAATCAGTGAGTTTTGATATTTTCAACCATATTTGGACGACTAGTTCTTAAAGACCGCCCCAGCAACTACGAAAGTAGCCAATTAGGTTCCGTTATTTTGTGGAAAGCTATCTTTCCACCGGAACAAAGAAACCTAATTGGCTATCTCATCTGTTGCTAAGATGGCCTTTGGAGTCATCCTTTTGAACAGAGCCCTGATCTTGGTTTTGTTGACTAAATTTCTGCAAAGTGCTTGTGATATCTTTAAGTCCAAAATCATTGCACGATTCGAGGCTTATGATTTATGAGTCACTGTTACTATTTATTAATACAGCACTGTAACTCAGACAAACTTGTGGCCTTAAGTTTACGCATCATAGAAGTGTTCGAGTAGTGAAAAAGTAAATTTTCTTCCCCGAATAAATGGGCTTATCCGAATGTCGTAACAAACTTATTTACTGTTGGCATTAATATGTTTAGTTTGATTTCAGATGCAATACTAGTGAGGAACTTGTTTGCACTCACAAGCAGATGAAGCTGAATACACAATTAACTGACTTATTTGGTATCTACTCTCAATGTAGGTTTTGATCGAGAATGAGATCCATTTTTACTTGGCTGGTTTAGCTGGAAGTACACAACTGGTGGGAGTAAACCAATCATTATTACACTCTCGACAGTGATTTTTTCGCTGAAACGTGATAATGTGAAGTGTCGCACTCATCAATACCAGTGTGAAAATGCAAGCCATTCATCAGCATTCTGATGAATAAAGATATAATGTAAAACATCAACAAATGGGTAGAGAATAACCTCACCACTGATATAAAACATTTTTCGCAGCATGACTGACCTTTATTGTGCGATTTACTTCCCAACCTATTTTTGTCCGGGGTGAAAAGAAGAAATGGGACAGGAAATGGGGATGCTGGCTTTTTCATTGAAAAGATGTGTTTATCCAGCGAAAAACTAACTTTTCACAAATAATGATTAATTTAATACAAACAATATATTTCATACAGTTTGGAATTCTCAACAAGTTCACTACCAGAACAATATATTCAAAGCAAATGATCACTGCATTGGATTGATGCTATTATTAGCACTAACAGGAAAAAATGTTGAGCAGTCAGCTCATGTCGGATTAGTCTACCATCTATATTTGAGTTAGGCGATGTAAGTTCATTCAGCCAATACAATAATCTGCTGTTGGAGCTAATATTCCGAAGAGTTGAAGAACGATGAATGTTTACACAATGAACAGTCCATTTAGGCCGAAATTGACATTTTTTTTCTTCTTTTTGTCATCTAATCGAGAAAGTGCTAGTTGAAAACATTTTAAGAGTGTACAAGAGTGCATCCAACATTCAACATCAATAGTAAGAGCAGACAAAACTTGTAGCTTTTGAGCTCTTGCTTCTAGGTGCTGAAGCTTGGTTCTTTTTGCTACGTTGTACTTCCTCAGTGGTCACGAAAGTCTTTATATTTTCCCTGCTTATAGCCCTGGATGTAGTGACAGTCTCCTTAAAGGCTTTCTTCTTACAAATTGTAGCTAGGTTTGTTTTGCTGGGGGAATGCAGCTGCTGATAAGATCAATTAACTTTTTGGAATTCTTGTTCTTGTAAGCATCTGCAAATTAGTATTGAGTGTTATTCAAAAATTATAAGAAATGGGGTGAGTGGTGAATGAGAAAAAGAGTAGTGAGAAGTACTTATCAAAAAATAGGTGTTACTAGTGAAAATATAGGGGAAAGACTCATCTCACTGCAGATACTAGGGTTGGAGAATACACGGGGGGAGGGTCACTTCATCAGTTGCTACTTGCAGCATTTTATTTCACTGCATTGTGTTGATATATGTAACAACTCACTGAACATTTTTTTTTAGTTGTACTGATAAAAGCTTTCGCCCACCCGTTGACCAATACAACATCCTGATATATACTTTGCGTTAACTCCTGACATTTACACCGTCTGACGCAGGTGAATAAGCAGTGTCGGGAATAAAAAATGGGCGATTGTGTATCTGGACATGTATATAAATTTGGAATCATATTTCAGAGCTCGACAAAATGGTGAGCCCGACGTGACTAAACTCTCGCGCGTTTTACTGGTGGATATTAGTGTTGTTTTCAATTGAATACTGCAACTGTAGTCATAAATAACTGTATACAATATATATATATATATATATATATATATATATATATATATATATATATATATATATATATACTGAGAATTGTCTCCAGCTGCTTTGTGGTAAGCATTGACATACTTGTTTATTGTATTTTTCCGAATCTTTTTCTTAAAAAATTTGTTTTTGCTGTACCAGTACTGATGTCCTTAAACTGTCATAATCAAGACTTTTCGGATGTAGGGTCCGTGGGTGCTATTAATCTTCCAATGCCTTGTTTTAAGTTTAATGACGGATAATTGTGGTTTGTCCGTCTAGAACATTTCTTCATGACCAATCATATAAGTTCACAAAACACAAAGTTCGGATACACAAGTTCTGTTTTGCCGGAAGAAGTGGCTGAACAAGTAAAGGAGACACTAATAAAGCCCCACCCAGACACACTTTTTGATGTTTTGAAGCAAGAAGTTCTGAAAGCCACTTTGTTATCTGATCAGAAGGCTGTCGATCAACTACTAAGTAGCATATGCCTTGGCGACAGGACACCTTCACAACTTAAGCAACATATGCAAAGTCTGGTGAAAGATAGGAACGTAGACAGCTGTTTATTCTACTAGCTCTGGCTGCGGAGACTTGCTTCATGTATTCAGCAGATATTAGCTGTCAGAGATGCGGACATTGAGATTGACAGGTTGGCTGACATCGCTGACCGTATGTGCGAAAGGATGTCTAAATAGATTGAAAGTATTCCTGAGCCAAAGAAAAACGACCGAGTAACTGCTTTAGAGAGGAAGATCGACATACTTGCAGGACAACTGACGACTTTGCAGTTAAACCGACAGTCACCGAAGTTCTATAGAAGTAGGTCCTGTAGTCGTGATAGAACCACAAGTAAAATTGTGTCTAAAAGAATCGCAAGAAGTTTGGCAGTAAAGCAAGTCGTTGTTTGCTACCGTGCGTTTTTAAAACCTTTTCATCGGGAAACGGAAAAGTCGGTGATCAGTGACGACTGCCGTCACCGGCGTACAGCAAAACAGTCGTTTGTTTCGGGTGACGGACAGGAAGACTGGAGTACGGTTTCTGGTTGACACTGGAGCGATAGTGAGCGAGATCCCAACCACACCTTCTAAAAAACACCATCCCAACTCAATCTTGGTACTACAAGCGGCAAATGGATCTGCCATTACTACATATGGAACCAGAGTTTTAATCCTAGACATTGGCTTTCACACACCATTGGAGTGGGAATTCGTCATCGCTGATATATCGTCGCCTATCATTAGCATGGATTTCCTTCAACACTACAAACTATTGGTCGACTCTAGCCGCCATAGACTAGTTAGCCGTAGTGGTGAATTTTCTATTGCGGATATCGCTATGGAGACAAAAACAATAAACCTGAACGTAGCTCCAATAAACAGCACTTCGAGTACGATATGCTTCTGCTAGAATTTCCCGAGATGACTCAGACGGATTACACGAAGTCCTCTCCAAAACACATGGTGACACACCATATTCTTACAAAAGGTCCTCCAGTGTCATCAAAACCTCGACGCTTAGACCCTAAAAAGCTGCAGATAGCAAAACGGAAATTCGATGAACTTTCAAACTTGGGAGTTATACGCTCTTCCAAAAGCCCATGGTCATCAACCCTGCATATGGTACCTGAAAAAGCATCGGGGGAAATACAGCCTTGTGGTGCTTATCGAGCGTCGAATAAGCGTATGGTCCTCGATAAGTGTCCAATTCCCCATATACATGATTTTGTGAACTCGGACAAGGTAGATACTTTTTGCAAAACTGATCTCGTGCAAGCTTACTACCACGTCCCTGTGAAATCCAATGGTGTTCCTAAGACGGCCATCACCACCCCCTTCGGACTGTTCGAATTTATTCGTATGCCGTTTGGTTTGACAAATGCTGCTCAAACATTTCAAAGATTTATAGATCAGGTACTTCATGGATTACCTTTCGTCAGTGCATACATGGACGGCTTAACAACTACTAGTGCATCTGAAACAGATCACTTGCAACATCTGAGGACGCCTTTCAAACGAACGCTTGA